GCATCAGCCTGCCCCCTCCTGCTCACAGCAAGCCGGCCACTGTTGCTCATAGTTGCTGCTCAGAACAGTCTACAAGCGTGCCTCCTCGTGTGCGTGCGTGGGCCTCTCTCTGCAGCGTTCCAGGCCTGGAGCTGTCGGGCCATGCAGCAGCGTCGTCAACAATCAGAGCTGCGCCGACTCATGCCCCAAACACTTGCTACCTCACACGCTGCCATATGGCTCCATCCCTGGCTGCTGTATTACACCGTATGTGGCATAGACAGGATTATGAATGTGTACCCTGTAGCAGAATTACCTTTTAAATGTGCAAGGAGGTACCAAGGGCTACCTTTAAGGTAAAAGTTGCCTCTGGGAAGGGAGCAGGCTCTGATCAGGAAAGGATGGGCAGGTGCCCTCAAGTCTGTGGTTTATGTTTCTTTTTTTTTTTTTTAAAGGGATGCCTGGGTGGCTCAGCGGTTGAGCACCTGCCCCTGGCTCAGGGCGTGATCCTGCAGTCTCAGGATCGACTCCCACATCAGGCTCCCTGCATGGAGGCTGCTTCTCCCTCTGCCTAACATCTCCGCATCTCTCTCTCTCTCTCTCTCTCTCTCTCTCTCTCTCTCTCTCTCTCTCTCTCTTTTTGGGGGGGACATATAAATAAGTTTAATTACCTACTACACCATTCAGATGGAAATGTAGGGTAAATGGATAGAAACAAAGGTCATAAACTTAGGAGACCGGCAGGCATTTTTAGACAACTTTAGGTTTACACATTCACCAGACTGAACTAATTCTTAACATTTAAAATAAAACTTTAAAACATTTTTACCACAATAAACAAAATAATGTATTAAAATTGACTTCCAGAAATGACCCAATTACTTTATAAACATGATTTAATTTTCTTCACATTTCTTTAAATGTCAAGTTTTCTCTGGCAAATTTATTCAAAATACTAAATTTTCATTTTAGAACTGATTTTACATTGCAGAGTGCCCTAAATTGACATTCATCAAGACACCTTTCTCTAAGCCCTAATGGTTTCTACCTTCCTTTTAAGATGTATTAAGTAAACTTGTAATTCTCAAAAATATTCTGGAGAAAAAATGAATTTAATATGAATTTAATATGAATATTTATTTTATTTTATTATATTATATTATTATATTATTATATTATATTATTTAATATGAATATTTAATATGAATTAAACACCCATAAATTCTTCTTCATTTCTGTTATAGTGTAGCAATTTATCATCTAACCCACAGTGGTCTATCAACTGAGTAAGGCTGAGTTTCTTGTTTTCCTCAGACATAGCTCACCGCAACTCATAAAGCAACAGCTGGCTACAGCTTCTCCACTTCTGTATTCACAACTGTAACTGAGACAGATCATTCTTTGATCTATACATTTTGACCAGTTTTAGCCTCCGAAGAAGATCTTTTTCTCAATCTGCTTCACCAATTTTGCTCTTTCTTCACTTAATCCTTGTTTGGAAAGATCCTCATTCACAAAGTCACTCTGGAGATCACTGCGTAACTATCGAGATTTAGATTCACAAGCACTAATACTCTTGAAGGTATTTTTCAAACATGTTCTTTCTTTCAATTGATTATGTGTTTAAAATTTTCTTGAAATTCCTAAGTTTTCCTCTATTGAAGATTCCTCAGGAAAAGTCTGATCGTTTTCTTCATTCTCTACTTTAACACATTTTACCGCACTATAACAGGAATTAAATGAAAATCTAGTTTTCCTTAATTGTTCTCTAAGTGTTGCACTCATTGGTTGTTTTCTTGAACTACTTGGACAGGGAGATGGTAGACTGGCACAGGCCCGTGGAGTGCTAGGTGAAATCACGGCTGGGTCGATGGGCTTTCCATCTTGAAAATGAAATCTTGGTTTACTTCTTGAACCCTATAAAGCTGTGTGACTAGAACCAATGACCACTGAGTCCTAAGGAACAAGGAACAGGAACACAGATAAATGTACGCCCGTCTGTGTCATTTAAGCAGCGAACTGACCCTTCCTCCACCATCTCCCAGAGTGCTGAAAACACCTCTCTCTGTGTGTCTTTCATGAATAAATAAATACAATCTTTTAAAAAATCAAAAAATTAAAAAATTAAATAATTTTTTAAAAAACGGGGGTTGGTGGGATGCCTGGGTGGCTCAGCGGTTTAGCTCCTGCCTTCGGCCAGGGCATGATCCTGGAGTCCTGGGATCGAGTCCCACATCGGGCTCCCTGCATGGAGCCTACTTCTCCCTCTGCCTGTGTCTCTGCCTCTGTGTGTGTGTGTGTCATGAATAAATAAATAAAATCTTTAAAAACAAAACAAAACAAAAAACTAAGGCAACAGGGTGCAACCTTAAGATTTGCTAAAGCTTCCAATTTACATGCAAGTGTTTTTATGTTATTTGAATCTATTCATTTAAAACATCTACTTACGTGTAAATACGACCATGTACACATGGAGAAGCAGCGTAAGACATTTCAGACACATTTAGGTTGCTTCTGGGAAGCGAGGGTCAGAAGGGTGTTGCATGTGTAACTTTATTCCTTTCGTTAGTGTTTGCATTTTTTTTTAGAAACATATATCAAGTTCATGAATTAAAAATTGAGGAGGGATGAGTTTCGAGTGTATGGATGAGATGAAAGAGTTCAAACTCTCAGAACCTGTGTTTTCTCATCTGTAAAATATGGTTAGAAGCATCTACTTTGTAGGGCTGCTGTAAGGGTTATGATTTATTCATATTAAACATCTTGCAGAGCACCTTTACATAGTAGGCACTAAATAAATAATAATTGTTTACATTATTAATAAAAATGTAGAATACGCTGTTTGCAAATTTACCCACTCTGAAATGTACAGAGAAAATAGATGCAATTTCTTTATTTCTCAATAAGTGATCTGTTCTTCCACATGAGCTTCCCACGGGGGTAAATGGATCTTCAAGCCAGGAAACTTAGTTTGATTCAATAATTTAAACCCACAGCCATGGTTTAAATCCTTTCAGTAACTGCTGTCTCTTTACATTTAAACACCTAGACTCTCAGATCACTGCTGCCCAGCCGCCCTGGGCAGCAGTAAATACAGCCGTAAATACACAGTCAGATTTAGCAAATGAAAATGCAAGACATCCCATTACATTCAATTCCAGGTAAACAACAAATAATTTTTTTTAAGTGCTAAGTCCCAAATATTGCACAGGACACATTTATACTAAAAAATAAAACCAACGAACCAACACTATGATGTTTATCTGAAATTTGAATGTAACTGAACATCCTGCATTTGATTTGGGGGATCCAATCTAGTGGGAGGATGGTGCAGGGGGAACAAGGGCCTCTGGGCCTCCTGGACTTTGGATGTACACTGGGCAGTTTCTGGGCGCATTCCCCAGGTGGTGGACAAGCTTGAGGTCCGTGGCTGGTGTGACCCACAGTCTGTCTCAGCTTAGCCGGGGCCTGCCTGAGCCAGCCCCATGTTGCTCCTCAATGGTGCTGAGGACCCTTTTGTCTTCCTGGCACATCCTCTTTGGGCCCTGGGCTGGGACCTGCACTCTGCAGCCACTGTGGCAGGGTCTTTTGGCCCTGAGTGTAGTGGGATCTATGGCAGGGTCCCTGGCTCTCAGTTGAACCGCTTGTCCTATGGCCCCAGAGAAGCACACAAGGACTTATGATGATCCCAGGGCAGCTAAACGCCAGCCATCCCTCTCCTCAGACAGGACATGTCCTGTAGCTCAGGTGTGGCTGCTCCAGTGAGCTCATAGGGTCCCAGGGTCCCCAGCCTGAAGCAGGGAGTGGGCAACACCCTGGCCACAGTGTCCCTGCCGTGGACCTATCTCCCTCTGCCCACCTGCCTCCTCTCTGCCTCCATTGTTGCCAGTCCCCCAGGCCAAGGGGCAGCCCCTCTGCTCCCCCCTAGATGCTCGGTGATCACCACTCAGCACTCACTCCGTGAATGTGTAATCAAGCACCAACTCTATTACAAACACCATCCAGATGCTAGAAATAATGACAGGAAGACCCCTCTTCTGGAGCTTACACTCTGATGCAGTTGAAGACGAGGAGCAAATACTGAAAATCCAAGTCACAAGGTCCCCGGAATGCGGCAGTGAGCGCTGCAAAGGGGGAAAGGAGTGGGGCAGGGAGGGGCTGGTAGCATGGCGGGGTCCGGCTAGGAGCTCTTTCCCGGGGGCTGGATGGAGGAAGCGTTTCAGTAGAGACCTGAATGAAGAAAAACAACAAGCATGCCAGTGTCGGGGGCAGAGGGAGCGGAAGGTGCCCTTCAGCACCTGCAGAAGTCTCGCTGACTGCAACAGGCTGCATTTGCAAAGCGGGCAGAGGGGAAGTCAGAGAGGTCACCTGCCTCAGATTATACTTCCAAAATGATACAAAAAATAACATGGAAAGCCCCTTTGGCTTTCTGGACTCTTGCTGGTGAGAATGAGGACATCGACCGACTGCAACCATGGAAGGAGGGCCAGTCTGCCTGGAGCTGTACCTTCCCTCACACCTCCGGGCCTTGGACCCCCCGATGGCCTCCGATCCGGGGAGCCGCAATCTGGCCTGACCTTGGAGGGACACGAAAACATGGACAAACGTTTGCAAAATGACCCTGCTAGGCTAGTAAGTGTTCCCAAAATGTTACAGGAGGCCCGCAGAGGGGACGACCTCTCTGGGCAGAACCAAGCGCGGGACTGGGCCACTTGAGCCACTCACTCAAACTCGATGCACTGCATGGGATCGGTGTCAGCACGGGGACTGTGGAGTGACGGGGCAGGTGGACCATGGAAGGCTCGGCGGGATGCCGTCTGTGGTATTTCAGCAGTGGGGATGTGGGGAGTTCAAACCGGGTTCAGGGCTAGATAGACAGCCTGCAACAACCCGCGGGGCCAACCTGGGTCCTGGGTCCGCAAGTGTGCAAGCCATAAGGAAGGCTTGGACTCTGCTGTGTTTCAACAGCATTAACGGAACTCTTTCTTTTCCTCTCTGGCTTCTCCTCTCTGCCCACCCAGGTCCTGGCGTCCCCACGGTGACCGTGCACAACACAACGGATAAGAAAAGTAAGTGCCTTTGCTCTTTTCTGAAATCTTCCCATCCCATGGGAGAAAGGAAGCCAAAGCTCTTTGAGGGAATCCGGCCTGCTTATTCCTATTTGGAGACTCAGAGATGGTGATGTCCCAGCGGCTCCCCCATGATCGCCGGTATCCATCAGTGTGATGGGCCCTCAGAGGCCAGCCGGTTGCCCCCACAGGTGCTGAGGCCCGGAGGCCACGATGGCCGGACAGGGCCCCACCTGCGGCCTGAGCAGAGCCCACGGCCCTGGCTGTGTAGCCTGGCTCTCCCCTGGGGGGCCAAGTCTCAGGCACCCCATGGGTGGGGGACCCCTTCAGGGCACAAAGGGCTTCACGTCCATGCCACTGCAGGGGTGAAACTCTCCAGAGTCTCTTGAGGACCTCCCAGCATATTTGTGCTTGAAGGGACCCCATGCAAGTTGACAGGCATCCTCGTGTATGTAGGCGGAGGATCAGAAATGACGTGTCTGGTCCCAGGCAGACTCTCAGGAAAGCTGAGAATAAAGAGAACGTGCCCTCTGTCTCTCCATTCCTTGGTCCTGTCCCCGAGGAACCCTCCCAACCCCCTGCTCCTTCCCACTAGGGTACCACATGCCCTGCCAGGACCCTGCTCTGTATCATGCCTCCAAACAAAAAGTCAGACCTCAGACCCCGATGGCAGGAGTGACTCTGCACATCCCTCCATTATAAAGGCAGCCAAGTGTCAGAGACTCTGGTTCCTGTCCCAGTGGTGGGGCTTCGAGCGCAGCGGTCATGGGGCAAAGTGTGGAAGACAGGGTCTCCACTGTTCTGGTTAAAAAGAGGTCAAAGGGTTCAAAAATACATAAAACAGACTGATTTAGGGAGACAGCATTTAGAGAATAATCCTAAATGATGACGATATTTCACAAAACTTATCAAATAATCACTAGAAATTCAAAAGTCAAAGATAACACCGGGAATTGATTTTAAAAATCACTTAAAATGCAAAAGTCCAAAAAAGGGATGTGAGATGGATACAAAACCCACTCTAAACACTCGCATGGCCATTGATGGGGAGGATGCCAGGAGCAGGCTGTGTCGGCCTTCCTGGGGTCCTCCTGGGGAGGGGGTTCTCTGGGTGCAGAGGTGCCCAGCCCAGGCCTCATCTCCAACACAAGTGGGGAGCTTTATAGGAGCCTGAGAGGTTTGGGGGTCTGGCCACGTGTCCAGTAGGCACAGGGTGTGTGACATGCGACTGTCTGGGCATCCCCCCTCCTGGCCACAGGCTGCCCACTCTTGTGGGGAGAAAGGCTTGGAGCATCATGGGGAGTCTGCCTGAGGGATCGGCCAGGACGCCCACCACAAGGCAGGTATCCACAGACACAGCCCAGCGTGCCGGCCCTCTCTGAAAAAGTGTTCATGCTGGAATCTCTTTAGCAGTGATTTTCACTCTGAAACATGGAACTATTTTGCCAAGCCTCAACTGGAGCATCTCTTTTCCTAAAGAAAACAGATACTATTCACTTAGAGGATTTGTTAAAACATAAGAGAACATAGATCATGGTGTAGATAGACAATGGGATTTTACTCAGCCATTCAAAAAGAATGAAATCTTGCCATTTGCAACCACGTGGATGGAACTAGAGGCTATTATGCTGAGAAAAATAAGTCAATCAGAGAAAGACAATTATTATATTATTTTACTCATGTGGGATTAAAGAAAAAAACCAGGATCATAGGGGAAGGGAGGGAAAAATAAAATAAGATGAAATCAGAGAGGGAGACAAACCATCAGAGACTCTTAACTCTGGGAACAAACTGAGGGTCACTGGATGGGGGACAGGGTCACTGGGTGATGGACATGGCGGAGGGCATGTGATGGGATGAGCACTGGGTGTGATGTCAGATTGATGAGTCCCTGACCTCTAGCTCTGAAACTAAAAAGAAAAAAAAAAAAAACAAGAGTATATAGATAATTTCCTGATATTTTATGAACTTTTTCTGTTCTTAAAAATCTGAATGGGATGTGTGGGCAGCAGCATTGTGTACCTGACAGTGTCCTGCTCTGGACACTGCCGTGTCACAGAGGGTGTCATTGTGGGGGAAAGCTGGGTGTGGGGTGCATGGAACTCTAGGCCTATTTTTGAAACTTCCTGGGAATTTAAAATTTATTTCAAAATAAAAAACCTTTAAAAAAAATCTCTAGTAAAAACACAAAACTAGCTCTAGATGATTCCCCCCCTGCCCCCCGCCCTTTTCTAAGAAAGTAGGTTTGGGTCTTCTTAAGAAAGCCGTGCACTTAAACACTGTCCCTTGCTTCTTTGGAGGATGCCGTTAGGATTTCTTCCGAGTCGGGTGATGCAGCGCCTGTTTCTGAGGAGGCTTTGTGGCTCGCAGCTGCGCTCAGGCCGGGATGCGATCACACCCCCCGGGGCTCCCGAGGCCAGGAGCCTGAGCCCAGGCACAGAGTCCACATCACGGCTTTTCCTCGGGCTCCCGTGGGGATGAAGACAAAGCAGGTTTATGTCTTAGATGCAGAACAACATCAATAAGACGTTTTGTTTGTTCTGTTTATAAACTGGGGCAACGTGTGTGTGGGTCCCCTGATCTGAAAGAGGGTCTGGGTACGACCGTGCCATGCGCCTCCCGCGGGCAACACAGGAGAGCTCTCTGTCTGGGCTGTTCCCCCTGATTCTGCAGAGAAACCAGACGACCCCCTTCTTGCCGCCGGGTTGGGGGATTAGCAGCACAAAAACCACCCCCCCCCCCCCCGCTCAGTCCTGAGACGCCAGCGGCTGTAGTTGTCTTTGGTGAGCCCCCTGACAAACCAGGCGTTTGCAGACACATTTCAATGTTTGGGGTTCAAGGGCCACAGTCATAGGGGATTCCCAGGGGAGGGGAGCCCCATGGAACAAGGAACAGAAGTGCGCAGTTGGCACGGCGTGGGACATTCCGGTCTGACCATGACCCCGAAGGTGACCCCTTGTGCTCCATTCATCTCAGTGAAGTGCTGATAACCGGGAACTGGCCGACGTCTATACTGCGTGGCGACGCATGGCCTTCTTTCCTACCACACGTGTTTCACAAGCCTGCTCATGTGTGCTGTCGCGGTTGAGCCCCGGCCCTCCTGCTGACTCATTCGCACTCTGGGGAGATTTCACCCCTACTTCCCCGTTGCTGCATCTCTAGTTCTCACTGTGGCACAGAGTTTTCCAGAATACTGATGTAAGGCAGCACGCTAGACGCAGAACAATCCTGCAGCTGAGCTGCTGGTGGTGCCCAACACCCAAGAGGAGAAGAGGCCTGTGTCGGGGTCTGATTTACATCCAGACACGGTAGTGCGAGGGGAAACAGGGAGGCCTCCCCCCTACCCCCCGCAATGGTCCCTGCGGGGTCATCCTGCCTCTGCATCCCTGTGCATCCAGACATCACACCGCACAGAGGCTCCCCCTGAAGTGTGACAATCTCGTGTGTCTGCAAGGTCCCGGCCACACACTGGAACACCCTGACAACAGTTGCCCTCTGCACGTTCCCGGTCTGCCCCGACGGCTCTGCGGTCGTCACGCCCTCCCGGCTGCCCCAACGCTTGTCCTCTTGTCACTTCCACCCTCGAGGGGAGTCGTGATGCAAAATGGCCATGGGCCTGCTCTGCAGTGGAAAGACAGAGGGTAAAGCTCAGGGGGGCCCTGGTGACTGAGACAGCCCACGCAGGCTGGCTTCCTGTGAGGGCCGGCCACACAGCCCAACTCATTGCATCCCTCTCGCTGGTCACAGCTAGCTGCACAGTATCCCAGGAAACGGCTTCGATCCCAGCTCCTTGCCTTTCAGATGAACTCGGGGATCTGTTGCCACATGGTGACTGCCGCTAGGAGTGCCACCACTGGAATCTGAGGAGCTCCATGTATGGCCCCCAGGGCAGCACCCCACGGAAGGGTGATCTGTCACCACTCTGGAGCCTGCAAGTTCAAGATCGAAGTGTTGGTAGGGTGGGGGCTGTGCTCCGGTCCCACCCCCTCATAACCCCCCCAACACCCTACCCCCCACTTCTGGTGGCTACTGGAACTGTGGGCATCCTCGGTGTGTACAAACATCACTGTTCCTCTTCCCACGGCCTCCCCATGTGCGTCTCTGAGCCCAAACTTTCCCTTTTTATAAGGACACCACTCATACTGGATTAGGGCCCCTCATGGCCTTAGCTAAACGTGTTTCTTCTGCAAAAACCCTAACTCCAAATACAGTCGCCGTCACAGGTCCTGGGTGTGGGGATGTCAGCATCCTTGGGGGACATGGTTCGACCCACAGCACAGCAAAACAAGGGTCTATGATTCACTCACATGAAGTCCAGGTCATGAGATCCTGGGAGGGAGCTGGGGATGCAATTTCCTTCTAGACCATGGCCCATCACCTTCACATCTGCTTCTGGCTGTGTGGACAGGAAGAAAGAAAAAGAAGATTCTGTGGGATTTTTTTGTACTAAGGCCTTGCAGTGGTATGCATTGTTTCCACTGGTCAGAATTCCCTCGTGGGGACCCACCTAGATGCAGGAGAAGCCGTGAAGGAAGGGACAGGCCGGTGAGTGCCAGGCGTCACTGTCACAGGGAGAAGGAGGGTCTAGGATGCAACTGGCTGCCTTTGCTAAGACCCTGAGAGGAGTGACTAAGTGCTTCATTATTGGCCATTTTGTATAAGTCACTCTGCAGAAGCGAGCCTGTCACATCGTCCCCTGTACCAACCCATGGTGGTGCTTTGCACAGGCCCCAGGCTGCAGACAGGTATCCTCGGTGCCAGAGGGGTCCCTATGAGGAGTGGGGAGGACCCGCCTGCCAGGGAGGGTCCTCTGACTATGACCGGGAGCACCAGTACCCAGCCTAATGGTGCAGGAATGCAGGAGGAGAGGTGTCATGGCACGGACCCCGCGGAGGGGAGCACTGAGGAGAGACATGTGCTTGTGGGGGCACAACCCTGGGGACCTGCCCCTACACCCCGAGAGCCCAGAATCTGCTGAGGGCACAGAGGACAGAAACGTC